GTTTTGTTCTTACTGGAATAGATACTCTAGATATGGATTTGCCTTTCCTTCATGTAATGTTTCTTCCAAGACCACCATCCACAGACATTGAGAATGTCTTATCCACCATCACAGCTCTGCCTCAGATCAAGGGACTAATTTCACAGCAAATAAAGTGTGGAAATAGGCCCATGCTCACAGAATCACTGGTCTTACCATGTTCCTCATCATCCCTAAGCAGTTGACTTAGTAGAACGATGGAAAGGCCTTCTAAAGACACAATTATGCTGGCAACTAGGTGGTAATAACTTTCAGGGTTGGGGCAATGTTCTCCAGGAGGCTGTACGTGCTCTAAACAAGCGTCCAATATATGGTTCTGTTTCTCCAATAGCCAGGATTCATGGGTCCAGGAACCAAGGGGTGGAAATGAGAGTGGCATCACACACTATTGTCCTTAGTGACCCATTCAAAAATTTTTTGCTTTCTCTTCCTGTTGACTCTATGCTTTGTGGGTCTGGAGGGCTTACTTACAAATGGAGGAATACTCCCACCTGGAGACAATACTGATTCCATTGAACTGGAAACTCAGAATGCCACCCAACCATTTTGGGTTCCTCATGCCTCTGGATCAACAGGAAAAGAAAGGAGTTACTCTATTGTCTGGTGTGATTGATCCTGATTAGCAAGGGAAAATTAGAGTGCTATTACATAATGGAGGCAAAGAGTATGTCTGGAATACAGGAAATACCTTAGAATGTCTCTTAGTACTATCATGACTTGTGATTAAAGTCAGTGGGAAACTACAGAAACCAAATTCTAACATGACAACTAATAGCCCAGACCCTTCAGAAATGAAGCTTTGGGTTATCTCACCAGGCAAAGAATCATGACCTGCTGAGGTGCTTGCTGAGGGAAAAGGGAATATGGAAGGTAGTTCTATATACTGGTGCTAAAAGGTCATGGAGGCAGCATCTTCTGACCTCTAACTCAAGAAAAGGAAGTCAGAATCACCATCTGCAGCCCAAGGCCTGTTCTTATGAGACCAGACATGCTGCTACTCTCCAGCCTTCTTACTAACCTTGATAGCAACCATCCCTTCCATGGCACCCACCACCTCTCTAGTGAGTTTGATAATTTGCTGCAGTGGCCACACAAAACTCACAGATTATGAGTTTATTAGGGAAGTAACAGGCTACAACTCAAATTTAGGTACGCACTCAGGATACAGCTCCTCAGTTAGGAGCTCTGCCCTTAGACACACATCTCTGGCCCTTGGCCAGCAGCCTGTCCTCTGCTTCTATGGGCCAGGTAAGTCTGTCACTCTGCGTTGTGCCTTTTGGTTCCACTGCCACAATCTCTCAGCCAGGCATCTCTCTCAGCAGCACATCACTCTCTCAGCAACACGTCTCGCTCAGCCAACCGTGAGAGATTCTTCCTCTTTATCTCTGTTGTTGTTGTTGTTGTTATGTGCCGTTGAGTTGGACCCAACTCATAGCAACCTCTCCTTGGGTTTCCGAGGCAGTATCACTATAGAAGTAGATTGCTCCATCTTCCTTCTGAGGAGTGCCTGGTGGGTTTGAACCGCCAGCCTTCTGGTTAGCAGTCAAGTGACTTAGGCACTAAGCCTAGGACAGCTCATTTTAAGCCTGACAGAGTAGCAAAACTAACCAATCCCAACATCAGAATTCCACACACCTGAGAGAGAGCAAACTTTCCCAAAAGATTACTTTGTGCTGCCCCAGGTGAATGACTTTAACAAGCAGCTACTCTCATGGCAAAGTGGGAGTTACAAAGACTATAGCTAGAAAAGCCATACTATGTAATTTACTACTCTGTAGGTTGCAGAAGAAGGCAGTTCTATATACTACATACAACCACATGACAAGATGCAGAAATGAGGACTGTGATTGTTATATTCCTTCCTTGTGTGTGTGCATCAAATATTTTTGTTCTCTTCACTTATAAAATACTGTATGCACATGGAGCTACTGCATTTTCAATTGTATGCACTTTAGCTGTATTATGTTAGACACAAATATGAGTTTACAATTGTCTTTAAGGAGATGTATACAGACACCAAGTGAACAAGAGGTGGACTGTGATGGATAAGGTTGGATCTCAACTCAGGTAGGCCATGATTCTCACTGGTTTGACAGTTAGATATAGTCATCCTCCATGATGAGATCTGATATAATGTAATCACCTCTATGATTAGGTCTGTTATGAGCAGAAAACTGTTGAAGGGGAGTTTCTTTGGGTGTGTGGGCTGCTTCCAATATATATGAATGTTCTGGCAAACCTGTCTTCTGGCTTTTTGCACAACTGGATCCTGCATCTGGCTCGTCATCATCTGACTTCTGGTGCTTTGGACTAAAGCCAGTGCCCTCCCATATGGTATGATGATCTTGGGATCATCAGCCGCCACAGCCTGTGAGCCACCAGCTTGCCATCTGACTTTCAATCTGATTGCCATGGACTTGCAACATGCCAGCCTCTACAACCACATGAACCATTTCTTTGAGCTTCTCTCTCTCTCCTCTAATACACACACACACACACACACACAAGCTTCACTGGTTTGCTTCTCTAGAGAACCCAGCCTAAGACATACCTTAACTACATCATGAGTCGATTAGTAAAGCAGGTACTCAAGAGGAGGCTTGAAGAGGATTTAGTCAGCTGCACTTTTGAACAAACCCAATACTTGAGGATATATACAAGAAGCATTGAAAAATCTGCCACTTATTCGATCTGTGGCATAAACCCTGGGTCAGGCTCTTTGTTAATATGTTAAAGGTCATTACTCCATTAATTATTTATTTATTTATTTATTATTTATTATTTATTTGTTTGTTTATTTGTTTGTTTGTTTGTTTGTCAGTTGCTATGTAACCCCATTGCATTTTCTGGAAGGAAAAGATCTATCTGAGATTGTAATTACCACAGGAAGTGATTGCCTCTTAATCTCAGTTTCATTTAATATGGACTTCAAAGGACATGTTGCATTTGAGTACTTAAAAAAGGTTACTATCATTTTCAGCCTGAGGAAGATTGTGTTCCTTCTTTGAATCCCTTTCCTATAAACCACATTTTGACACAGCTATATTTTAATCAAATTCCATGAAATGGAAATGTAATTTGTTATTTTCTCCCTCTATGGTCATGCAGGAGCTCTGGTAGCATAGTTCCTAAGGCACTTGACTGATAACCAGAAGGCTGGTGGTTCAAACCCACCAGCCACTCTTCGGAAGGAAGGTTGGGCAATCTACTTCCGTAGTGATACTGTCTCGGCAACTCAAGAAGGGGTCGCTATGAGTCAGGGCCAACTGGATAGCACATAACAACAACAACGACATGGTCATGCATTCCAATTGAAACCAAAACCACCAAGCCCACTGCCATCGAGTCAGATCTGACTCATAGCGACCCCTCCTTGAGCTTCCGAGGCAATATCACTACGGAAGTAGATTGCCCAACCTTCCTTCCGAGGAGTGGCTGGTGGATTTGAACTGCCAGCCTTCTAGTTAGCAGCAAAATGCCTTAGGCACTACACCACCAGATCTCTCAATTGAAGTGGTCATTAATTAGAAGATTCATACTGCATCTTGTAAATATATTGAAAGAAGTGCAAATTTCCTCCACCCCATTTTATGATTTGTCAACATAGATGCACCCGACCATTTCACTTATACTCCCCTTGAACATTTTTCTCCCACAACTCATATTCTATGCCCATTTCCTGTATCTCCCCCCAACCACCAGCTCTTAACACTACCTGCTCTGGCTTCTACTTTTTTTGTGTGTGAAGCTCCTCTAACAAAACACCTATTTGCACATTTACTCACTCTCTCTCTGACACTGAAACATGCTTGTTGAGCAGGTCTTAAAGAAAAGCCACAAGTCTACATCATGAAATATATGTAGATATAGATATGAAAAAAATGAACCTCACTGCAATAGAGTCAGTTCCAATTCATTGTGACCTCTCCTTGGGTTCCAGAGGTGTCATCTCTATGGAAGTAGATTGCCCCAGTCTACCTCCAGAGGAAGGTCTGGCTGGTGGGCTTGAACCACCACCCTTCTGTTTAGCAGTCAAATGCCTTAGGCACTATGCCACCAGAGCTCCTCAGAAATATAAATATAGATATATATGTTTGTGGGAAATAGTAAGAAAGGTCTTGTGTTGCTTGATATCACACGTCAAAAACCAGTACCTAAAAATAATATTCCCATTGATGCTTTAAAGTAACATAGCTCAAGATCAGTTTTCTCTAAAACTTGTGTGCAAGCACTATTTGTCATCCCCTATATTTGATATGAATCAACTCAGTGTAGGAAGTGAGGTGTTTTTTTTTTTTTTTTATTTAGTTTTGTGTACTGTGAGGATGACTTTGGGCCTTTTTAGCCCCAATTATGAGATAAATGAGAAATTTTTTTTTAAATTTTCATGAAAAGGCAGGGAAAAAATTAGGAATGTCAGAGAAATGAGGAGGCAGGTATCCACTTTATTCATTTGGGTAATGCAAAGAGGAAAATGAGTAACTATAAATTTGCTTTATGGAACATGAGACAGAGAAAGGAGCAACTTAAGTGAAGAATAGCATAAAAGATACATGATTTTTGTTTTAATTCATCAAAAAGAAGGTTCTTTTTAATTCTAAATGGGGAAAAAACAGTAAAAGGAAAAATCAAAAATAAAATCCAGCAGGAGAAATGGCAGCATTGTTTGAGATTTAGAGGAATATAGCAAATTATTGTGAGTGGTAAGAATAATATTTTAAGAAAATAAAATAATTAGCTATTTTCAGGAGCTGCATTTTTTAAATTGAGTGTGATGACAAGTACTAATTGATGATTAATGGTTGAGAGCTTTGTACCTTCTAAGCATTCAATAAATGTGATTGATTGATAGCTTACTTATGAAATAGAGTAACATTTATGACTCACACAGCATATGTGAGTGGGAAAACTACATGTATCTAAAGACCTTGTTGAAACAGAAAATAAATAACAATTCATACCTTCTCTGTGTCAATGCCTTTTGACATGGACCATGTTGAGACAATATAATCCATGACTCGCTCACTAAGGCCTTTTGGGACCTGATAGAGTTTCAGAAAGTCCCGTACATTATTCAGCATCTCATGATACCGGTTGGTGTTGGCATACATTTGCTGGAAAATTGTGGTAACATTTCCAAAAATAGTTGCATAAAGAAGAGCTGAAAGAGAAGAAATGATTAAAAGACAATAAATAACCCAGGAGGAAAGAAAATAATTAAATATTGGCCAATCCAACAAATAATTTGACACAGATATTCTTATAAATTAGTGGGTTTAATATATGCCAAACTCTTAGAAGAGTGCCTAAAAAACCAAAAACACAAACTCACTGCCATCAAGTCAGTTCCAACTCATAGCAATACACACTGGGTTTCCAAGGCTGTAAATCTTTATGGAAGTAAATGGAACCCTCTTCTTTCTGTGGAGCAGCTGGTGGGTTTGAACCACCAACCTTCTGGTTAGCAGCCTAATGTCTTAGGCACTGCATCACTAGAGCTCCTTAGAAGAGTGCCTGGTACCTAGTAACAGCTCAGTAAATGTTAGCTTCAGTATGATAAACATGATTTCATGAGCATGCTCCATTCTAGTCAATGAGGTTAAACATGAAAGTGGTTCATGGAGAATCAGAAAACCACTTTTCTCTAAGAAAGTCTAACCTTATGACTACAGTTTTTCTCCAGCCTTGTTCTCTTCAATGAAGAATCCATTTAAATTTTCCAGGGATTCATCATCCAGTTTAGAAATATATGCTCCTTGCTTACTCCTTCCAGCTTTTTGGACCACTTTCCTGCTTATAAACATTTTTGACAGAATCAGAAATAGAGGGAAGTGAATACAAATTAAAGTGTTCCATTTTTAGAAGTTTCTGGAGATAAACAGGGTTGAAATTAACAGCTAAAATAAAGCTTTGAGAATGCCTAGGAATTCCAATTATTAAGCTCAGGCCAGTCTCCCTGAGATTGTAAATTTCTTCATCATTTTAATTAACAATAAAATCAACCATTTTTACTTATCTATAGGGACCTATGATTGGGACAGGGTTTTTAAATGCCCCAGACTTCTACTCCACTCTCCTCATCCACAATTTACAAACTTTTCTTTCTCTGGATCTAGTCAAGCCACTAATGCTGACCTGATTCTGCAAATGCTTTTAGAATTGTTGAATTCAGCCCAAACTGAATGCATCTATAATTGCACACCATCACCCCCTCCATGGCTTCACTCTCTTGTTAACAGTACTTTCTGTGGAAGAGCACAGTATTTCATTCCCCTTACTTTTCAGTAAACACAACATTTACAGGCATTCTGAGAGTATTTCACAAATAAGTAGAATATCGAGACAATGATCACTCCTATCTTACATTTTCCAAGCATTTGAAAATGACTCTAAACAAGTGCGAACTGTTTCATTTTCCAGTTTCAGCAACCAAATCCCATTTGATGAAAGAGGTATAAAATCAAGCTAGTGAAGCAACTTAAAACCCCTAAAACACCTTTTATGGAAAATTATTTGTTTCTTCAAGTACGGTTATTCTCCTCCAAGTACATCAAATTATAATTTCACAATAAAAATCTATTATTTAGTCTTTTTTTTTCAGCTTTTATTTCATGATCTTGATGCTAGTGTGGGATAATTTTGAAGATACATGATATTTTTTGAAAACTAAGTATAGTTTTAACTAAGTATAGAAAGAATATAGTGCTGAGATTTTTCAACTGAATCTTTAAATGTTTAAATCTTTGTATTTAAAACAAAACAAAAATAAAAATAAAGGTAAGCACACACATCTCTATTCCATCATTGTTAGTATTAAGACAAACATACAAAAATATTGTGAACAAATTAATGATAGAAAAACCACATAAAAAGGGGAATTTCACATTTTCAGAAAAGAGGAATAAGCAGAATTTACGTTTTCAAAATAATGAGTGTTTTAGGAGTTAATGAAATGATGGGACAATCAGGATTTTTAATGGTGCTCAGCCACTGTACATTATCAATAAATATCACAAAACTCCTATTATTTTGACAAGTTAACTTGTTTGACTTCCTAAAATGTTTGCAACATGCTACATTTGCCAAAGTGCATTTTAGTTTAACAAATGACCACACATTTCACCATCTAAGTTGCATTAAATATGCAGATAAAAATACATTCTACTCATATGAAAGTTTAAGCGATAAAGAAAGAAGTGCTGCTGTAAGAAAACTTTCAATGTATAAAAAGTTGGCACCACTAATGACTGAAAGATGCAATCAACATCTCATTAAGTATGACATATTATAAAGATACTCACTTCTGCCTTCCATTTTCACATGAGTGTTGTTGTTGTTGAGTATTGTATACTATACCAGATATTTGTGACTAAACCAAACTCACTGCCATCAAGTCGATTCTGACTCATAGAGAGCCCCACTGGGTTTCCGAGGCTGTAAATCTTTACAAAAGTAGATTGCCTCATCTTCCTCCCATGGAGCAGCTGCTGGATTTGAACCACCAACCTTCTGGTCATCGGTTAAATGCCTCACGTGCTGCGCCACCAGAGCTCCATTTATGGAAACTAAACCGGGTTATAATTTAAGGTAAGAGATTTATATAAATGTTTCAAATACATTCCTTTCTCTCTTTTGGGGGTCTATAATTCTATAAAATGTTGTCACATATATTGTTTTTGTTGTTAGCTGCCATTCAGTTGGCCCCCAACTCTCGCACGATGGAACAATGCTGTCTAGAGATGCACTGTCCCCATGATCAGTTGCAGAGATCACTGCCGTCCATAGGGTTTTCATTGGCTGATTTTTGAAAGGAGATTGCCAGGCCTTCCCTCCTAACCCATCTTAGTCTGGAAGCTTTGTTCAGCGTCATGAAAACACAGAAGTCATCACTGACAGACAAGTGGTTGCTATACATAAAGTGCACTGGCCAGGAATCAAACGTACGTCTACCACATGGAAGATGAGAATTCTACCACTGAATGCTACTTTTCCACATTATATGTCTATATTTAAATAATATTTGTATATTTAAAAAAAAGAAAAACCACTTCTTTAAAATATTTTCAACAGTTAATACTGGAACACATTTCAAAAAAGATAGAACAAGTGTCATATTCCATGTCAAGCAATGATATTGCTAACCACTAGAGGCTGTATTCCTTGGATAAATGGGCACATTTTTAATGAGAGGGTTCCTGGTGCATGGAACACAATTAGGGAAACCAATACCAGTAGAAACTATTTAGATGCTGTTATCTCCTACAGTGCAGCATATAAATAGTTTAGTGCCCAAGCCATTTGACTGCTAACCAGAAGGCTGGTGGTTCAAACCCAGCAGCCACTCCTCAGAAGGAAGATTGGGCGATCTACTTCCATAGTGATATTGCCTTGGAAACCCAAGGAGGGGTCACTATGAGTTGGATCCAACTTGACAGAAGTGAGTTCATTTTTCTTTTTTCTTTCTTTTTCTTTTTTTTTTATCTCCTAAAGTAGTACCTCTATTCTGACCTCTCTCTTAAATTACAGACACATGTATCTTCTTGGATTTCTAATATGCATTTGCATCTAACTTTCAAAAATACAACACTTAATTTATACACATGTATCTTTGTTGGATTCTAACACACATTTTCACCTAACTTCCAAAAATGTAACTCTTAATTTACAACTACTTCTTCCCAACAACCAAATGCACTTTTATCTCTGTAAAATGGTAAAGCCAGTCACTTGGTTGCTCAGATCAAAAAACGTAAGCATCATCCTCCAATTCATTTGTTGATTCATTTTCTACACCTAAGCCATCAAATTTTTGTTGGCTCTGCCTTCAAAATATAGGCTCAATTCAATCACTACCCACTACCTTTGTGTATAAGCAAGCATCCTTGCATAGTCTTTGAGATTATGTGCTTTGAAAAATAATACATCGTGAATAATAATGATTCATACCAGGTGTGTAAGAATGGTTCAACATCAGAAAAACCATCAACCAAGCATGGTTTAACATTAGAAAAACAATCAATGTAATCTACCACGTAAATAAAACAAAATACAAAACCACTACATGATCATATCAACTGATGCAGAAAAGGCATCTGACAAAATCAAACACCCATTCTTCATAAAAGCACTTAGCAAAATAGGAATAGAAGGGACATTTCTCAAAGTAATTAAGACAGTATACACATAACCAATGGCCAACATTATTTTCAGTAGAGAGGGACTGAAAATATTCCCCTTGTGAATGGGAAGCTGACAACATGCCCTTTATCACCATTCCTAATCAATCCTGTATTGGAAATCCCGGCCAGAGCAATAAGGCAAGAAAGGGAAATAAAAGGCTTCCAGTATTTAAAGAAGTAAAATCATCTCTATTTGCAGGTGATATGATCCTATATATAGAAAACTCTAGAGACTCAACAAGAAAGCTACTGGAACTAACAGAAAGTTTCAGCAAAGTGGCAGAGTATAAGATCAACATAAAAAAATCAGTTAGATTCTACTACCAATAAAGAGATCTCTAAGAAGGAAATCAGGAAAACAATGCCATTTACTATAGTCACCCAAAAGATACAGTAGTAGTAAATTCCTAATAAATTTAACCAGAGACACAAAAGACCTATATGAAGAAAGCTACAAAACAATAATACAAGAAGCCAGGATTGACTTACATAAAGGGAAAAAAATACCATGCTCATAGATAGGAAGACTTAACATTGTGAAAATGACAGTATTACCCAATTTGGTCTACAGATATAATGCAATCCCAATTCAGAGGCCATCATAATTCTTTAGTAAGATGGAGAAACTAATTCCCAAATTAATATGAAAAGGAAAAGTACCCTAGATATGCAATGCACCACTAAAGAAGAACAAAGTAGGAGGCCTAACACTCCCCAGTTTCAAAACCTGCTATGTAGCCATAGTAGTGAAAACAGCCTGGTATTGTAAATGACAGCCACATAGACCAATGGAACAGAAGTGATAATACAGAAGTAAATCCACCCACCAATGGAGAGTTGATCTTTGACAAAGGGCTGAAACCCATTAAATGGGGGAAGAAATAGTCTCTTTAACAAATGGCGCTGGCAAAACTGGATGTACATTTACAGAAACAAGATCCATGTCTTTCACCATACACAAAACCTAACTCAAGATGGACCA